TTTGTCTGGCAAAATTCTTTATTCATAAACAAAGAGCGCTAAGATCATTCCTGGTTTTTTTTTTTAATTATCTGAATTCCAGTTATATTTGAAATCTCTTTAATGTATTGAAACATATGAATACCTGACTGAAATATTAATGGAATTGCCCACTATTGCATGTTAATCCATCCATCCATTTTCTGACTTACACCCATATCCCATTGGGATCAGGAGGGTGCCGGAGCTGTCGACAGGCAAGAGGTGGGGTACATCCTGGACAGGTCGCCAGTTCGCCAATATATCGCAGCAATACATGTTAATCCTAAAATATTAATCCCCTTGTTGTAGTTTGTTATTTTTTTTATATCAGTTTTGCTTTTTGCTCCCATTTCAAAGTTTGTCTCTGCTAGTCCTCTACAAAGTTATGTAGCCATTTTTAGACACTTACTACACCTGCACTATTGTAATTGCCATATTTGTTTGTGCTTACTTTGATTAATAAAGTTTTGAAGAAAAAAAACTCTCAGGAATAAGGATGCCCACAATTATCTAGGTACTTCATAATAAAACATTTACTCATTTATAAAAGTATCCTGAAAACAATATTTAGACAATGCAGTAATAAAGACGTAAATGATAAACATTGTACAGCTAAAACATTAATCAGTGGTTTGCTTAGGTAGAGAGGAATTTCTATTGATGAGAGGAATTTCTTACATTTCCGTTTGTGAAAATAATTTACATCCAGAATAGAACATGTTATTTTGCATTGTAGGAATAAAGGATTCAGACAAACAAGTTAATTAGGAACCTCAGTAATATAAAAATGAAATTTGACATAGCTGATTTATTGCAAAAGGATTGAGGAAGCAGAGGATATCAGGATATATTTGATTTTAAGTTGTATAATAGGATATAGCAGTTGTTTTTGTTGTTGTTTTTGTCTTTGTCATGTGGTCTACACTCCTTACCGATTGGTGGCGGTAATGCTCACCTAACGTTTTTTGCCAACTGCCAATACATTTCAAGAAGAAGAAGAAGAATCTACATCCGGTTCAAGTCAGGTTCATTTTTTTTCGCAACTTGTGTAGTCTCGAGCATATATGTGTAGAATATATCACAGTCTTCGGGTTTATATTAATCGTTTAATTGGCATTTTGTGAGCTTACCAAGTAGGGTCATTCTCAGCTTGCCCCATACCTTCAACTTCCACTTCACAGAGACCTGGTTCCAGTTGGTTTGGATCTTAAAATAAGCTAACGGTAGCGTTAGCAGAGCAGCTAAAGGGATGGCGGAGGTTCCCGGAACATCCAGTGAGACGATAACGGAGACTGTTCAGACAAATACACCGCCACCTCCACAGCAGGTAAATGCTTAAAAACGGGACCAAAGGCTGTTTTGATGGGTAATTGATTTGTAATGTACCTAACCACCCACTACTGCTAACAAGGCCCGTGTTCATGTTAGAACGTGAAAAAAAGAATCCATTAACTCGCCGCTCTTTATTAATTTACGAAGCCTAATGCTGCCGTTATTATTTAGTCCTAATTACTAAACGCTAGATGCGTGTTAAAACCGGTGACCATAAATTAAGGTTAGTATGCAAGTTAGTGGGCATGGGCAGCTGGAAAGGTTCATGCGGTTCTGTGGATGTGTTCAGACGGATTTCATGACTGCCCTGGTCATGATCTAAAATTCTGGTACTGATACAATATTGTCCAATGGTATCGGTATCCAGCTAGCGATACCTCAGTCTACACGCCTTTCAGCCGAACCGCCAGTAAGGGGAGGCCTATAAGCACTGTTGTTGCTAACCTAACGAAATATGACCTTTTACTATTGGTCAGCTAATAAAAATAGGTTCTTTCTCATTGTTGCTCTTTATTAATATATTTTCAATATCACTGTCTGATAGTCTATTCACAACATAAGATTACACAGGTGTATTAAGATCACAGATAAATTATAGCACAGATTGATCTAGTCAGCTAGAAGGAAGTGTTATATATTACCAAGTAATGAATGTTTTAGAGTATTTTTTGCTAATCTATTTAAAATTGCATTGACACTTATGTAAGTTTAAAAAACTAGTGACTATTCCTTATCAAAGTAATATTTTGATTAAAATATTATTTCTAGTTTGAATTTGTTGCCTGATTTTAAAAATTAGTACTGGAGTAACTGGAGATTAATGTGGAAGTTTATCCTGTTTACAGGAAGGACGAAGTTTGACAATCAAGCTGAGGAAGAGGAAGACTGAGAAGAAGGTGGAGTGGTCCAGTGACACAGTTGACAATGAGCACCTGGGAAGACGATCGTCTAAGTGTGAGTTTAAATAGCCTATGGGAAACAGCAAAGTGTTATTTGGCAGAAATGAAGGATTTGATGGCCTATTAATAGATTAACATATTTCCATGTACAGACTTAATATTTTATTAGATTTATTTTTGTTACATCTAGGAAATATTTAAATTACATATATCAAACT